AATTGTGAAAGTTCGAGCCGAAGAAGAGGAAGGCGCGCGAGACGAGACATCAAGGACTGGTAGGTAACAGCGAAGATCAGCCGATGGAGGAGGAAAAACAGACAAAGAGAGAAAAATGCTACTAGCGATTCGGGAGTTAGAGCAAGATTTTGGACGACAATAATGTAAAATATATTCACGATAGAATGTTCCAACAAACTGAAAAATTGATCACTCCTATATAATTTAGAATTTATAATTAATTTATATTAATATAAATAATATTGTATGAAATATAATTTATAATTTTAAATTCAAAATTGCAATTGTTCATTTTTTCATTACTCTCAGTTATGATAGATGAAAAACGTATACGATTATCAGATGATTTTGGAATGTTGTTACATCCAAATAGTACCTAATTTTTGTAATCTTTTTTTTTTTTAAGAATCTGTTGAAGTTAGGTGTTGCAGTATCTATAGGAACTATCCCACTATCTGCATAATGTACAACTGAAAATATCAACTAGAACAAGAGCAATATGAGATTGGATAAAGATTAAAATATAAAAAGTATATAGATGGAAGAAAATTTGCAAAAAACATCATAAACTTGATCTGGACTGAAATCCATATAGATTTATTAATCCGAGGAGATAGAACCGAAGTACACTTCCTCTACGAAAAAAATCACATAAATGTGAAGCACAAATAGTAGTACATAATTTTCAGGATTATCCTCAATTCAATATTCAAAACAGTTTGGGATGTAGGTTTTATAGAATGTTTTATATGCATCATATTATCATAAATGTCTTTTATAAACATATTATGTATATACATGATTTTATCATATAAAACATTTTATTTAACTTAAAAATCAAGTATAATGCAGAAACGGTACAAAAATATAAATTTACTGTATTTTTGTACAGTACAAAAAAGAATTTATTTGGCACAAGATGTTTATGGGATTTTCCTAGGATTTTAGGTTTCAACCAAAATATTTTTTTTTTAATACTTTACTTAAATTTTATATAAATATAATTTTATTATGAAATCAAAAAGAATATATTGTACATATATAGTTGATAGCTGAAGTTGTTAAAATAATCAACCAATGTACAAAAATTAAGGCTATTACTTTTGATAATTTCGAAGATACAAAATTCGAAAAATTATATTTATATAAATAAAAATAAAAATATATTCATAATATACATTTGTAAATAAATTTATATGCTTTTAATAAAAACATATTCATTAGATAAATTAATAATTGCATAATTATTAAGTTATTATGTTAACAGTTGAATAAATTTATATTTAATAGAAAATAAGAGGCTAAAAAATATATAAAAAGAAGAGAGGCACCTGATTGCCCATGTTGCCAATTTTCAACAGAACTTTCTGGATCCAATGTAAACCTTCGATACCGGTCGCTATGATCAGAACCGAGACGAGATATTTCAGCGTCCGAAATAAAAACTACTTCAATCTTAAACAAAAAATTTCTTTTACAGCATGTAAAATACAATGAAAAATAATATTAATTAGTAATATTTAATATATCAATATTAATTTAATAGAAACCTATGTATAATCACATGTACAATCACTTGTACGTTAGAAATATACAGATTAAGTGTACATGTAAATACGTTACAAACGAACGAAATTATTGCTTACTAAAATCACAGTAAAATTAGAATGTATATGTATAATACACAGAACATTAATTGTTTTATTTGAAGTAACACTTTTCGTACTTTAATAGCCACAAAATTGTCAATTATTTTATCAAAATTTATATCTCTATATAGATATTTTATTTTCATTTAATACATATCGAGCGCTCGATGTTGAGTCAGATTGTAGTCAGTTATAGTAGCGAATGAATTAATATGGGAATTTTTAAGCTCCATCAAATTTTTTACATGAAGCAAATGCCTTGTTCGCCACACCCTAGTCCGACAGTTGTGACTGTGATCAATCACCACATTGTTAAATAGAATGTTCTGTAAAGAATATAAAAAAAAAATCTAATAGTGTGTGAATTCTATTGAACGTACTCAGTTCGCATTAGTACACATTAAAGCCATCGTATATAAATTGGTGTAAAAACGTATTTAATATAAATATAAAAATAGAAATATAGAAATATAATAATAATAAATATTAAACCGCGAAATATTCACTATACTTTATAATGTTGTTATGTAAAATATATATTATATACTTTGACGTATTTGCATTTCACTTTTACATTCAGATGAAATCAATGTACAATGATTTTAATATGCATCAGTGCACATTAGTATGTTCAACTGAATTTCGTTGTAACATTTTAAAAGTCTTTCATTCTGATATAGATAATAATAATTATATACTTTCACTTGCAATCAATCTCAATAAAATTAGTATAATCAATCCCAAGATTTTGAACTTTGTTTCACAAAGTAATTTTATTCTGTTTAGTCAGTTTAGAAGTTCGCATACACGTAAAACGATCGAGTTTGACTCTCATAGTACATTCGCAACGCTCACGTACGAATTAAAAACTCTCTAATTAAAGAATGATCATAAAGAGGGCTATTTTTGATTGGTTCTTTTATTTCAACATTTTTTTACTATTTACGTTAATCAGAACGAGATAGCACACATTCTCTCCTCTCTCGCATTACTGCAGAGTGAGATCGCACATATTTTTTCTCACTCGCAGGATTTTGCCAGAACATAAACAATACGGTTTTATAACTATGATTAGAGGATCTCTGATTCGAACATGTTGATCCTTTGCGACCCTATTCGAAAAATTGAGAAACTTAGCGCATCTTTAATTTATTTTTTTTTAAATCATTAATAATAGTTAATTCGAAAAATGCTAAAAATATATTGAAAAGTATGATAAAAATTATATGTAAAAGTATTGAAGTTGAATTAAAAAGAAAATATAGTTTTTTTGTAAAAACAATGTGTATTGCACTTAACACTATTATATATTTATCTTAAGAAGACATGAAATTCCATTTAAAAAATTATATAAAGCAAAAAAATATATAGTAATATAAGACTCCAAAAGTTTACAACATTTAAAAGTTTAACACATTTAACAATGTATGCAACAAAAGTAAAAAACTATTAATTTTTAAAAAATATGCTTCATTTCATCATCTTTTTAAAAAATACTCCTGAAAAACTTATTTCAAAATTATTTATTCAAAATTGCATAGAAAATTGAAGCAATTAATCAAATGTTTGATTATTCACATTACCAATTTATAATTGGAGGTACATAAATGAAATAATATTTTTTTAGATTCTCTCTCTCTCTCTCTCTCTCTCTCTCTCTCTCTCTTTCTCTCTTTTAAAACAAGATTTGTATCATCTATAGAAAAGTGGTACAATTACAAAGAGAATGATTCATGTAAAAACAAACAAAAAATGCAATATAAACTTTTTTCGTTCTATTTGCAAAAAAATTAATTTTAAAAATTTGTGAGATACGCGTACGATTAAATATAGCTTGGTTATCATATTGTTGTCTCATATATTCTATCATTGATTGTGTTAATAAACATTGACAATGATTTAAATAATACAATAGGTTTTTGCTGATTATATTCTTTTATCTCAGTACAAATATTGATACAAATATTTTCCTCCCTACCGTCGCGTACAGATTTCCGTTCGATAAATTTGAAAAGTATGACTGGATTCTAGTCCATTTTACATAAACAGAAATAAATCAGTAACGGAATGACATGACTGTCAAGGTATTCGTTCGTGCAAGTATCTGAATTTTCAAAATCGATTGTTTTGAAAAGTGAAAACGGAGTTGCAAATCTTTTATAGTTTCTCTAAATTATAAAAGTGAACAATTATTTTCTTTTTGTAGTTGTACCATGAATTATACATTCTATATTCCAGATAGCACAATATTTATAAATATTTACAAAATATTTACAAATATTTATAAACCTTATTTTAAATATTTTGTAAATATTTTTATAGTCTTAGATTACATAGATCATAAACGTTTATTATAAATATTTATTTACGTTTATTAAAATATTTATTGTAAATCTTGTAATAAATGCTATGGAAATACTTAATAAGACATTATAATTCAAATAAAAAATACTTAACAGAAATATTTATTTATACTTATCATAAATATTATATTAAATATTTAGTCTATCGTTTAATATTTCGAATAAAGCTTTGTTATACAAAATATGTATAAAATATTTATATAACATTTCAAAAAATGAATAATATAATAAATATTTATCATAAATATTCTATGCTTTCTGGGACACGTAATTGGAATAAAATTTTCTAACAGAAAATTATCTTTATAATTTAGAGAAGCTAAACATTTGCTACAACTGAACTGTACGAGTACTATGTTCATAACGCCAGGATAGCGTGCGTGGACGCGGAGGAGGCCAACGGTGTCCAAAGACATCGCAAAGAACAAGCTCGAGAACAAGAAGATTCGCAAAGGCGCTCAACCGAGGGGACGTTCATCAACGTCGCTGTCTATCGGCACTCGTCGCCGATGAATTTGCGATTGCGGTTCAATTAAAAAAAGGAAGATTGGACCGATTATCCTCAAAGAGCGCGATACAAGAATAAAGTAAAGGACGCCGAAGAGCGGGACCAGGGAGACCGGCAAGGAACAGGCGCGAGAAATTATAAACGCGAGAGATCGACGTAGAAAAAGAGAGAAAAGGAGAGAGAAATGAAGAGTAAGGAAGGAGACTTCCGACGCTTCGGTTAAGAACGGATCTACCGAATGATGGAAGGGAAACTCGTAGTAGAATATCCGAATGGATCCGAGACGGACCGACGAATGGCGAACGGATGAACGACGGACGACCAGTAGAAAATGTAAGTAGAAGGACAGGGTATAAGACGTGGTTCCAAGGGAAAATGAGGATGGCGAACCGGTCCTCTCTTTCTCTCGCTCTCTCTCTTTCTCTCTCTCTCTCTCTCTCCTGTCTGCCTCTCTACTCTCTTCACTCTGCCCTCTCTCTTGTCCGTCTCGGCGTAACGCTGCGGCCGTTTGTCTTTGACGTCACAATACTGGATTTGAACGAGCCAATCGGCACTCGCAGTCTTGTACGCCGGTTACATATGTTGGAGGACGGGTAGAGCTGCGCTCGGCCACATCGAGGGGGATCAAATGGTGGGGCGCAAAAGGTGCGTCGGCTGAAAATCGGGACCCGTACGACTGGCAGGCCGCTGGCTGCTGCTACTTGCAGTTGTACAGTGACGAGTGCGGTAGTGCCTCATCTGGTATCGTACCAGGTGTACTCTCTTTCTTTCTCGGTCTCTGTGTCCTTGGTACTCGATGGAGACCGTGAAGGGACCGGATACGTGAAGAACTGAACTTTGGGAAATTCTCCTTTTTTGAACCATCAGGTATTCTTCCCGGATCAGGTATGATCCATGCAAGATTAGTAGATCCGTAGTAATGCGCAGTTTGGAGAACGCGCGGAGGAGGATTCGTTCATTCGAAAGCGGTACTCCTTGAAACTCATCGATTTTTTTTATTTCATACTCGAGTAAAGTCCGTGCGAATCGAGTAGTTAGTGGGAGTAGTTAGTGTTAATTAAAATAAATACGAATTTATATTATAAATTACCGAGTCTTTTTCGGTGTTTTTCATATAAAAGAAAGAATTTTCAACAGTTGGAGATTACGAAGTAGTTAGTTTTCCAAGGTCGAGGAAACATTTCCTGTGTAAACATACAAATCATAAAGCTTCAATATGCAAATGACGAAATGTTATACATAATTCTAAAGACTTTTGAAAATGAAAGATATAAAAGAAATATTCATATTTTTTTAATATATAGACGAATAAAGTGTTTATTGCTTACAGCAATTGATACATGTGTAACTCATACAGAATATTGGAAGAAAATTGCTGAGACTTTATAATATTGAAGTGTGAACGATTTTTCAACGTTGAATCTATTTTGCAAAGTTGATGCAATTTCTGAGATTCTGTTGATTCAACATTAGTGTGCTATATGAATAATTACATCTGTGAGATAATTAGGAAATTAAAAGAAGCGACCAATGTTTTTGCTAATAATACCTTACATTGTTAAAAAAAAGTACATATATTAGTGGATCGAGAATTATTCATTTAACAAATTAATTCTTAAATGACGTCATGAAGAAATCATTAATCTTGAAAACATTTTTGTTATATCTTTTTTATATTTAGACTCTCATTTTATTACTTATTTTTCAAAACTAATAATAAAAAACTAAAAAATTAGTATTGCATTGATCCTAATTTAAAACATGTTAATAAACCCTTTGATAGACGTTAAAAAATTTGATATAAGTCTAATGGACCCACGATGAATTAAAGATTAAATCAAAATTAGAAATGATAAAATATATGACATAAATAATATGAATATGAGTATAAATATGAATGATTAATTTGTTATTATATAAAAAGGGAATTTTTGTAAAAATTATATTAACTTTTGATACACACTTTTGAGTCATTTGTATCCTTCCTCCCGCATTTCTTTTTTTTATTTATATCCAACAATATTATATATAATAATTATATATAACAATTTATTATAAATATACAACTTTACAAATACTTTCTAAAGATGTCAAATACATGTAAAAATTGCTTAATTTATATATAGTTGTAAAAGTGATGAAAATTAATCCAGGACACAAAAGACCTATTGATGTACTAAGGATTAAAGAAATTATAATTAATTTTTTTCATTGCATCATAATCGTGTAGATCAAAAATTCGAAACTGATTTTATAACAATTGTAATTTTTATGAGAAAGATTATAAACTATCGATCAATATTTATTCTAGAGACTATATTCTAGTTTGTTTTTAAAATTATTTATTTTTATTACGATTGTTTATAGATTTTTATCTTCTAAAAGATAATTTATTATCGCATTTACTATCGCAATTTATTTATTCTTATAGTTGGAGATAAAATAGTTCTTAGTTTATCTCTAGTTTGAGATTAAAATGTCTTTGTATACTTCGTATCAAGATGAAATATTTTCATATTTTAAGTTTCTGAATGTTATATATGCAAAGTAGCTTATTTGAAAATCAACTTCAAATATTTTACTTGATAGACAACTGCTCTAACATCGAATTATCTATAGTACTTTCAATAATTAACTTAGGATCGCAAAAACTGGTAATAATGAATTAATAATTTTTTGTCATGAAATATCATAATCACACACGATAAATCCATATCTGCTCTAAATGAGTATCGAAAAAAGAATAAGAAAATTAGAAACGATTTCCGCAATTTTAGATTTCTTATCGAATCCAATTTTTGTATTGAAATCAATTTGCGTAAAATGAGAATTCTCAGAGTATTTTAAGAATGATATGAAGCTAATGTTTATCTAATCTTCGTCCTTTTTGAAAATTGATATAAATGCATACATTTTTCCACCCATTGTTTTATGGAGATTCGTACAGTGTTTCAGAACTAAACTTACATCATTCTCAATATAAGCAGCTTACGTACCAGTCGACACGAGATACATTAGTTGAAATAAACAGTTTTGAAAGTACCGAAGCGTGGAATACCTTGATTTCGTGCCTAATAGCTGAGCTCATACCAAGAATATTATTTACATTCAAGATTTAACCGAACAATCGACGTCCTTCGATACAACACAATAGAGGAAACAATAATAAATGATTTAAGATAACGCTCGTGCTTAAAACGAATTTATGGTTTGAATTATATTGCCGTTAATAATGAAACGAATTTTAAAATTTCCCAAACAAATTTCCTTTTACAATCAACGTCGCGAGCGTAACGCATTTGTTTTCTACTTGTCGAATTGTCAAATTCTACACATGATTATTCAGCATTAACACAAAGCTCTTTGTCTTCATATACTTATAAATCAGTAAATTTCGTGCACGATTTAATATTAAAACTTATTATTAAGGCATATTATTTTTCTTTGTTTACATATATTGTTTTGCCAGTTACTTTATAAAATTATTATTCCGATAATATTCTCTAAAATTTCCTTTTGCATTGCTAACATTCTTTCGTGAGAGAGAGAGAGAGAACGTATATATTTATTAAAAATTATTATGAAACAAGCTGAACTTGAAATTCTTGGTTTATATACTTTCGCGGGATAGATTCAAGATTCTGTGATATTCACATTGAAAATTAACATCTTTGTTTAAAGAGGATGCGTCAAATAATGATGCAACGTAATCGAACGGAAACGAGATAAGAAGTGAGAAAGTACGAGGATATAAGTTCGCGTACCCCGATGCTAAGATATCAGAGAACTTCTTCAAGGTTAAACATCAGGATCGTCAAACACTTTGGTCATTTACAATTATTTTTATTAATTCGAATAAATTATTTATTATGAGAAATTTTTTTATCTTGAACGAGATGAATAGGAGTTACTAAATTTCTAATCTTCTTTCTAATTTTTACATTCTATTAAGGAACGTTATTTCAATTTTTATTTTCTATACAAAACTATTTCTTCGTATTGGTATATTTTAATGCAAATTATAATTATCGATTAATAAATTAATATTGAGAATAAATTCGTTTTTCGAATAAGTTTTTCGAAAAAATAGTTTTCGCTTACAAAAAAATTCATAAAAGAAATAGGCATTTAAACCTAACACGATTATCGGTAGATAAAATATCTTTATTGTTTTAATAAACAAGCATTAAAAAAATTTTTTCCGAAGGTAGAAAATAACAACGTCGAATGCGTAATTATTTTATGACATAATTTATCACATAAAAGTCAGGAAAGCCTTATTAATAAGAAATTGGTATTGTGAGAAATTTGCTTAGTTAGAAATTATCTCAGCTGAAAATCTTTTTATTATTTACCGTTAACTATCATTAATGTAACGTATAATATTATTACTCTGATTTTTTGCAAATTTTCTGTTGACGACGCGCTCTATAATTTTTCAATCTTTAATTTTCTATAAATTTTATTTGAATTTCTCAAAGACCGACCGCTGGTTCCGCATTCGTATCGCCCGTGCGCGCATCCTCATCGTCGGCGATTCGCACCGTTTCGCGTGCGAATTTCCGCGGGCCTCTTAGCAACAAGTTACGCACACACACACACACACATACACACACACACACACACACACACACACCTGCCATGGAAAAGCGAAGCCGCGCGAGCGTTCTCGTTGCGGTGTAACTCAAGCAAGTCTCCTCCTTGTCGCTCGACGATCTCCGTTACATTATTTTCGTCTACTTCGTGGCTCGTAATCGAGTATAATTAGTTCGCACGAGATTGATATTTTTCTTAAGCAGATTGTCTTCGATACAAATATACGGAAAAAACTTGCATAACAAATTTCGAAACAAAATTAAATTTAAATTGAATTTTACTAACAAAAATTTGGATTTGTAACAAGCTCAATCACCGTATTATCTCTCAAAGTGAGGGCCATAATTTGACAGAAAATCAAAACTTTTCTTGATAGTTATTTGATAAACAATATTCGTTGCTTTTAATTTTATACGTTTTTGGGAGAATCGATAATGAAGTTAATTTTTTATTTTATTTTGCTATTAACTACGAGTTATGTTTTGCTTGATTTAACCTTGTTTGGATTTGTACAATCTACTCATTTCTCGAATAACATCAGAGAAAAAAATTAAAAGTTTAGATCTGATAATAAATATTCTCGCAAACAATATATCTAGTCGAATCCTTACTTTAATATAAATTTTGCAAAATTCGACACGCATTGACGTGCATGATAATAATTTAATCATATATTATACAATATATATATATATATATATATATATCTTATATATTTTAATTTATAATTTATTCAATTAGTCTGATGAAGCAAATATATACTTATAGTCGGACATATATACTTATATCATCGAATACGTAATTTTTCACAAAAAAATTAAATAATCTTCGGTTTTAATATGCTTTACTAATAAGCAAGATTGGAAAGTACTCGTTACTTGTAATGAAGTTACGGTTTGAGTTTTTTTTTTCAGTAACTGTAATTTAACTTCGTTCCATTTTTCCATCTATAACTGTAACTTAACTTAGTTAAATTTTTTTATAATTAATAACTAATTTAATAATTACTTTTACAGTTACTTTGTATCAAACTCATTTATTTACATTTAAGCTGACTAAAATGAAGTGTTCAGTGAACAATCAGTGATTATTTTTCATAATTGTATATATCTTTATTCCTGATAATTATTACATTTTACAAATATCTATTAAGAATTAAACTAGGATTTTAATGTGTAAACACGTCTTAATATTTTGATCGCATAATATTTTGATTCAAAATATAATAATTTATAAATATAATAATTTATAAATAATATAAAATGTATAAT